CGCAAACCCCATACAACCTGAAAGCAGAGAATCAGAAGGGTCTGGTGCCTCAGTAAAAGCTTTAGAAAAGGTGCTCACCTGCTGTTCTTAACTGACTTGCAGGCACCTCCAACTAATGAAGAAGCTGAATAATTAAACAAGGCCAGAAAGAAATAACCTATACAGGCTTGAATCCTCCTCCCTTCAGTATAAAAAACCCAAACTTTTAGTAGTACGCACTTCTACAAGTGTGCAAACCAACATTTTCCAAATGGAATGTTATGCCAAGTCAGTTGGGAGAGTGGGGCAGGAAAGGACATATGAGGAATAGGTTTAAATATCCTTATATCCACTACCTTAAAATTTAACATTTTATTTCTTAAAATAATTAAATGCTGTGGCAAGCTGAGTGCCAGCACAAGTTAAGGTAGACAATATTGATCTAGGTAATTCTTTTTTTAGAGGATTAAGGACCAAAAGGGACTTTCTAATAAACGCAGGTAGACGCAGGGTTCAATACCCCACAGTGCCAAAAGGAGTTCAAGCACCTAGAGGTGCTGTAAACTAGAATGATACTCTTGAGTGGTTACAATCACTAGTATTCGTGATGAGAGCAAGCTGGCATTTACATGGAGGCTACTGCTCCATCAGGATTTGGTCTTCATGGAATAATGGTTGTGGAATATCACCTAGTACAGACTTCTCCCGAGCAGCATGTCCATTCAGGCCAGACCAAAGGTCTCCCCACATCAAAGCGTGCAGAACAGTTTCTACAAAAAGCAGGATTCTGTCCAAAATGCAAAGCCTTGCTAATGCCAAATTACTCGACATTATTACCACTAAACCCGGATGCTGGCTGAAACAATACAAACAAGCTAAACCAAGAGTTTTCCTATCCTTATTAGTGAGCTCACGACATCAGGATCTGTCTGGAAAGCTATGTTTTCACATGGTTTTGGAGAAAGCTGGCTTTTGCCTGGAATCACCCATCCAAAGCACAAGCTCTTGAGTTCAACTAAGAGGATACGCATAATGGAAGTGGAACACAAGTGAAGTCAGGTCTAAGAACTACTTCCAGGAGCCTGAACTTTAAGCAGCCCCTTCTTCAATTCAGCAATTTTATCTTCTCTCGAGTCTGCATAACTCTCTGCTGCCTTAATGAGAGAGTCATGATGCTTCTCCAACCCAGCCTTCAGATTTAGGTATATTTCCTAGAAAGAGGAGACAGAGGGTGGGAAGGGGGAAAAAAAAAAGAAAAAAATCAGCAAAATTAACATTTATGCTTCCTAAGGATTCAAGTGAGAGCAGTCTGGTGGCCTCAAGTGACCTCAAAGGTCCCAGGTTTAAGCAGCATTCACAGAAGAGTTACAAAACATCAGAAGAACAAGAGCAGCCACAAGCAACATCCCAATATTATGATTCTGCTGTGACTCTACTGGTCACAATACTAAGGTAAGTCCAAAAAAATCCAGTACTAGCCCAGTATTCACACTATTACTGCCCCATTCTGTCTCACACCAAGGTCTCTGCCATTGTCCTCTCAGCATGGACAGTGCTGAGCAGACAGGGTGAGACCCTACAGGCAGGCTGTGACCCCCTACTCCCAGCCCATCCGGATTTCTGCCCCTTTCCAATGCTGAACTGGTCAGTCATCCTCCCACAACCCTAGGAAGAAGGGTTTGGGACATGGCAGGTGGTTCTGTATTTGAGACTGGTGAGAGGATTCCAGTACTGACCAATGTAAAGCCAAAAAAAACAAAAATCCAACTGCTCAGAAGTACCACAGTACAAAAATGGACATTATGAACTAGCATAGCATCTGCTTCAATCACAGGTGGGAAGATAGGTTTAATTTCATCTCCCAAAACACGGGGCAATCACATCATTCCAGCATCTTTTCCCTCAGGTCTGCAACACCCACTTCTTCTGTGGGCAAGCCTGCGGAGACGCACACGAGCCTGAGCACAAACCCAGCGACCCCACAAGCAGAAAGCCATCTCCCCCACAGCAACCTGCCCAAGCCACCACCCACAGGGCCCACTCGTTTTTAGGGCCTAAAAGTGTTCCTTCATTCACACAGTCCAAGTTAAAAACCAGTTTTGAGAATACCAAACAGGGTTTCTTCAGGAAGAAAAAAAAAAAAACCAACCCTCACCTTGGCTTTTGCTTCTTCTTTTTCAGCATTCTCCTTCAGCTGCTGGATTTTGAACCTCGTCTGTTGGATCTCCTTGTGAATAGCCGTCACTTTATCATACACAGCACCCCTCTTCTCCTGCACTCTGTTACAATATCTAAAGGTGGGAGAAAAAGTTAGTACTGAGCCACTTGACTAATTCCAGATTAAACTTAATCCCATCACAAGCAAAGCTTGCGTTTTGCGAGCATCAAACTAGCAGCTTCCAGAAGCAGTGCCGTACAGAATTTACTTGCTTGGAAATTTGCGCCGGAGGGATAAGAATTTGTACCCAGTTTAAGAATGAGGCAAGAAGTGAAATTCAGAGTCAGAGGAATATGTTGAAGATCCTCAGTTGCTGCCAAACAAGGCAACTCAAGCGACTCCAGCGGAGCCAACCCACTGGACAGCTGGACATGGCGTCCTTCTGCCTTTGTGTAATGCAGTAAAGGTGTCAGGGGAGGGCCCGGCCTAAAGGCCAGCCACTGTCCAGGTTAAAAGCAGCAAGGCTGCACTTGATGTTTCAACATCGAGAGTCACACGTTCTCCTTGGTCCCAGATCCCCTCCCACCAAGTCAGAGCTCTACTCCCACACACCGACGTACGTTATTTGCCACTTCCAGCCCATCATTTCACTGCATCCTAAATAAAGGCCAAATAGTACTCCCCAGCTTGCAGGTAGATTCAGATGCTCCGTGTAATCAAAGGGTTGGCGTGAGAACGGGAGGTTCAACTGCAACACCGCCGCGTGACCAGCACAACACACACCTACCAGTTTATAGTAAGCATTTGTACAACTACCACCGTTGGAACTGTAGCAGCTGCTTTCCCTGCAGAATGGCTGAGATCACTCACTCAGCAAGAGCCTACTGCCATCGTCCTGCCTCAAGGGAACAGTCAGGACACATTCTCCTGTTTATTAGCAAAAACCTCTTGTTTTCAAACCAAGGTTACCTCTCTTCCCTCTTGTTTATCAAAGCATCTGGTTTATCACTCAGAGGAATATCTAATATTAAAACCAGGTAAATCAGCAGCAACTTTTAACATAAAGAGTGTTAGAATATATTATTTTCCCTCTTTATCTGGAAGAAAAAGTAGCTTTTCATTTCCTTTAGCTGGTACAATGCACCAAATGAGGAGCAAAGGAAGCCTGTGGAACATGCTGCCATTCTACCCACCGCACGTGTCTTCCAGCACGTCTAAACCTCAGTCAACTCTCAACCGGGTGGAAAAGAGCGCTCTTCCATCACAGTTACATAACCAGCCAATACACTGCCATACTCCCTTCCCTACCAGGGTAAAAGCAGCTTCCTCTAAGAGTTTGGCACTCTCGCAGCCAAGCCACAACCTTACGACGCCGCAGGCGCGAGCGCTGCGCTGTAAACACCGCGCTGCGACGTGCCGTTAGCGCACGGGAGGAAGGAAGACGGGCTAAGAGGCTTTGCTCAAGTGACACTTTTCCTTTTGTTTTAGAAGCATCGTGTCAGGATAATACTCCTCTGAGATAGGAGCCCCGTTTCCCCATGGGTCTTGAACATCTCTGATAATGAGCAAAAGCGGCAAGGGAAATTATGAAAAATTCATGAAAGGCAAATGGGGCTTTGTTGAAGTCTGATAAGTTGGAAAATTATCCCGATGTGACATTCTCTTTAAGAAGATAAAAGAATCAAGAATAAGCATTATAAATTAAATTAGTGCTCCAACAAAAGAATTGCTATGGAGTCACATTGCAATTACTGACTGGAGACCCCAAGTCCCTGCCCGCAGCGTTACCAGTCATCATACAAAGCTATCCCACACCGCTCGTTTTCTTCCTGCTGCTAAGCCACACGTTTGTGCCAGACGAGCTTTGGTAGCGCGTAACGAAGACATAAAACAGCATCAGGCAGAAACATCAACTCATCCGTACTCAAATACGGTCTGCTTGTAATGCTCAACATCTTCACGCTTCTTCTTGATCCTTATTTCAGCTGTAGACAGCTTCTCGTGTTTTGCAGTGACCAGTCTCTTTACAGACATTTCATCTGTCTTCCCCTTTTTCAGCTCTATCTGAGCGCTCTCAAGCTGGTCTTCCAGATTCCTGACCTGGAGGACAAGTTAGCATTGAAATAAATAGAGGGGGAGGACAAACCATCAGAAGAGCACACCCTGTGAGTTTACCAAGATGAGAATTTGCACCCTGCTTTTTCAAGATCCGGTCGCTAACTAATCCTCCCAGTTGAATCCCAGTTCCCTGGCCTTTATCTGTCCATCCAAATGGACAAGATCCTGTCACTTGGGATGATCTGAGAAGTTACTAAGAGTTCTGCAATAGCCCTTAGCCAAGGGTAATCCGAACACATGCTATACAAACACCCCAAGACTGCACACCGTTTTTCAAATACTCCTGGTATTTGCATTCTCTCAAAATGAGCAGAAAACAGCAAGGTATTGTGTCATGACAAACATTTCATACGGGAAAGGCTGGCTTCATAGTACCAAAGGCAGTTCAGACATGACTATTCTTGAAGTATTGATTTTATTGCTCTTAGTTTCTGCTCTCTAGGCAGAAGAAACTGGATCTCGCACTTCTTCCATCATTTCCTACCAACAACCCCAAGACAGTTCAAACTATCTGAGGTCAGGTTTCTATGGCAACAGAGGTTTTGACAGTGGTCAACAGTACACTAGCTAGTGGCATGCAGCAAAGCGGCAGCTATGTTTTCCTGATATGTTTAAAATCTTGAATAAAAACCTCGAAAACCTGAAACACATCAGTAGTCCTACTGACAGGACAAGGGGTAACGGGTTTAAATTGAAAATGGGGAGGTTTAGATTAGATATCAGGAAGAAGTTCTTCCCGGAGAGGGTGGGGAGGCACTGGGACGGGTTGCCCAGAGAAGCTGTGGATGCCCCATCCCTGGAAGTGTCCAAGGCCAGGCGGGATGAGGCTTGGAGCAACCTGGTCTAGTGGAAGGGGGCCCTGCCCATGGCAGGGGGGGGGACTGGGTGGGCTTTAAGGGCCCTTCAACCCAAACCATTCTGTGATTCTATGATTTTGAAGGTACCGAAATTCTATCTTTTTGGGGAAGAGGAGAGATGGGAACTTCCAAAACAGACATTTACTGATGATCACCTATCTTGCTTAGACATTAAATTTTCCCTAACCAGGTATAATACAAACCTCTGATAATACACTGGCCAGTCTCTCCACATTTGCTCCTTGCCTTTCCATCTTCTTTTGATATAACTGCACCTCCAGTTGGCATGCTGGCAGAACCTCAACTAGGTCTCTGTAAGCTTCATATTTCTCAGTTACTTCTTGCTTTAAAAGGGAAAAGACTATTAATAAACAGCTTTGGAGTTCAGCACTTATTGTGTATAGCATTAATGCATACTGAATTCTGTACCCATTCCCTGGTTGTTTAACATGCACTGGAATTAATATTTAGTAGGCACTGAAATGAGATCTTGGGTTTGTTTAAAAAAAAAAAAAAAGCATATCACTTCTCCTGTGCTTTCCAAATAAATGCAAGTGTTTTACACTGAACTAACCAGGTTGTTACAAGAGCTTTCAGCTTTTTTCTGTGCTGTACAGGGAACAAGTTCCACACTGGTAAAACAGGAGTTATGTAAAGCATTATAAAACAGATGCCTGAATTAGAGCAAAAATGTTTACACCTTTGGAACAAAAATACCTAGGGAGACAGAGTTACACAAACCTCACTGATATATGAGGGACCATGAGCTACGAACATTTAAGTGACTGGACATTACTATTAGAAATCTCGAAGAGGTAAGAAGTGAACTCCACTTTTGGCAACCTACAGGAGACAGCCATCAATTCCAGGAACCGTGAATGATAACAGAGACACCATGAAGCACCTGTTCTACATCCAAGGACATTCGTGAGCTGCCAAAATATTGTCTGGCTGTTTGCCCTCAAGGGATGACAGGTATAGTGTAGATCCAGGAGTTCTACACGTAGTTTCACAAAGGAAGTGTTACTCGCTGGGGACAAAGCAGCAATGACTGCAGCGCTGCTTTTCAAAAGACAAAAACCCACGCTCACAAAAAAGGCATCAACACAAACAAAACACACACACACCCCCTCCAGCCAACCTTCAGTTTTCTCTGAAGTTGTGATGTCATTTAAGACTAACCTGTTGATTTTTGACTAGGAGCACAAGTCAGACAAGCAGCAGTTCGGTACAACATGCACTGTTTCTAACAGAACACTTCCTTGCACGGACAGAGGAAAACCTCACCTTGGATTTCTTGAGTTTCTTAACAGTCTCTTTCATCAGTTCTTTGTAATTTTTCAGCTCCTCTGGACTCTCCACAATTTTTGATTTCAGCTGCTCTTGTTCTTCTTTCAGCGTAGCCATTATCACTTTAAGGTCATTCTAGTGAGCAAGACAAACACATTTTCAATATTAGCAACTACGCAAACAAAGAGGAACTGTGAGGCATCATCTGCCAGGATCACAGACAGGTTTGGGTTGGAAGGGACCTTAAAGCCCATCCAGTCCCACCCTCTGCCATGGGCAGGGACACCTTCCACTAGACCAGGTTGCTCCAAGCCTCATCCAGCCTGGCCTTGGACACTCCCAGGGATGGGGCATCCACAGCTTCTCTGGGCAACCTGTCCCAGTGTCTCCCCACCCTCTCCAGGAAGAAAGGCTACGTGTAGATCTTAGGACTAGGCAGGTTCTAAGTCACTCCTCATTGGGAGGTTTGGAGGAATTTTAATTTTAAAACAAACAGCATTAACATTCCCAATCAAAGCAGCTAAGAGCCACTTTTGCTCCCTGAACGTGCTTACAGGGATGCACTCCTAAGTCACAAGAACAGCACGTAACTCCACAAAAAGCCAGCCAGCTAATACGTATCACCAGCAGCTCCCTCCTTCAGAGTCACTCACCTACAGCAACCCAGGCACTCCCTGTAGGGTTTCAGAGCCAGTTCTACCAGCCTGGTGGAAGAGCAGCAAGCTTCCCATGCACCCTCTCAAAAACATCCTGGTTTGTCCCCAGCCAGGTCAGTGGCTGCCTCACCAGCCCAACTAAGCACCCAAGGTAAGCCCAGAGCTTCCCAAAGTCCAGCTGACTTGCCCTTTAACAGATCAGCTTTCGCAGAGACGTGTATTTGAAGTTAACAACAAAACACACTACTGCAGTAAAGCTTCCATGGCCGGGACAGGGATGGAAATTAAGCCAAATCAGTTTTTTTATTTTAAAAAAAAAAACCCACCAAAACTAATAATCACCACCTAACATTGCCTAGCTCCAAGAATAATTTGATCCTAGGAGGAGAGGTGATGTGTTAGTTGATCTGAGATGCACGCTACGGCCCACACCTACACCGAGGTGTACTTACCAGTTTTCGGGTACTCTCTGAAATATCCGACTTCTTTTGCGAAGCTAATTCTTGCAAAGCTGTCTTAAAAAAAAGGCAACAAACTTGAAATAAGCTTCTCTACAACAGCTACCTAACAAAGATCACACAAGAGAAATCCCATTTATGGTTTCTTTGGAGTGCCATAAATAGCAGACTGAATCACAGCCTATAAGATTACAAAAGTCAGGGAAGGAGAAGGTTGTTGCAGAAGCCACTGGGAGCACTGGGGATGCAACCAGCAGCTAGGAATAGGCAGAAGAGTCAGACTGCCTCTAGTCTTACTGACCCTGGCAGCATTATATACACAGAGCCTTCTTACAGTGAAACAAAGGGCTGGTGCTAGGGGTTAGACAAGTCATTGTGCTGCAATGACCTCTGTGAATCAGAAAAGTCCCCTTCATCCCTTTTTAGGAGCAGCAGGAGGGGAACAAAACCAACAGGAACACACGATCAGAAGCTACAGCAGCATTTCAGAGGACTGTATAACAAGATCGTACTTGTTTCCGACGATAATCTTGCCTTAGCAGTTGCTCCAGTTCTCGAATGTTATCTGTCAGTTGCCTGACCTCTTCTTGATGTTCAACTGGAACAGTGCTGAGCGGAAAACAGAGATATTGAGCAGTTTCAGCATTACAGTCAGGTCAGAGTATAGTAGATAAACTCTTCGGGGAGAGGGATTATTTTACAATGAGTAACTTTAGTAATCAGGGCAAGACAGTCTCAAACCAATACATCTTAGAATCACAGAATGGTTT